AATCATAGTGCATACCCTTGAGATTTTGGAGCAGGGAACTGCCATCCTCTGCAGATAACTACTCTCCTTTTGAGAGGCAGCTTTTGTCTTGTTACTGGGCCTTGGTAGAGACTGAATGCTTAACCATGGGACACCAAGTCACCATGCTGCCTGAGCTGCCCATCATGAACTGGGTGTTGTCTGACCCACAGAGTCATAAATTTGGACTTGCACAGCAGCACTCCATCATTAAATGGAAGTGGTATATACGAGATTAGGTCCAAGTAGGACCTGAAGGCACAAGCAATTTGCATGAGGAAGTGGCGCAAATGCCCATGGTCTCCACTCCTGTCATATTACCTTCCATCTCCCAGTCAGCATCTATGGCTTCATGGGGAGTTCCTTATGATGAGTTGACCGAAGAAAAGAAAACCCCTGCAGATGGTTCTGCATGATATGCTGGCACCACTCAAACCTGGACTGTGCCAGCACTACAGCCCCTTTCTGGGAACTCCCTGAAGGATAATGGTGAAGGAAGATCTCCCAATGGGCAGAAATTCGAGCAGTGCACCTGGTTGTTCACTTTGCTTGGAAGGAGAAATGGCCAGATGTGCGATTGTACTGATTGATGGCCTGTGGCCAATGGTTTGGCTGAATGGGCAGGGACTTGGAATGAACATGATTGGAAAATTGGATACAAGGATTTATGGGGAAGAGGTATGTGCATAGACTTCTCTAAACAGGCCAAAGAAGTGAAGATATTTGTGTCTTGTGTAAATGCTTGCCAAAGGGTGACCTCAGCAGAGGAGGATTTTAACAATCAAGTGGATAGGATGATGCGTTCTGTGGAAACCACTCATCCTCTTTCCCCAGCTACTCCAATCATTGTTCAACAGGCTCATGAACAAAATGGCTATGGTGGCAGGGATGGAGGTTATGCATGGGCCCAGCAACATAGATTTCCACTCATCAAGGCTGACTTGGCTACAGCCACTGCTGAGTGGCCAATCTGCCAGCAGCAGAGACCAACACTGAGTCCTCAATATGGCACCATCCCTTAAAGTGATCAGCCAGCAACCTGTGGCAAGTTGATGACATTGGACAACTTCCATCATGGAAATGGCAGCTTTTTTTTCTTACTGGAATAGACACTTACTCTGGATACGGATTTGCCTTCCCTACATGCAATGCTTCTGCCAAAACTACCATCCATGGACTTATAGAATGCCTTATCGACCATCATGTTACCCCACACAGCATTGCCTCAGATCAAGGGACTCACCTTACAGCAAATGAAGTGTGGCAGTGGGCCCATGCTCATGGAATTCACCGGTTTTACCATGTTCCCCATCATCCTGAAGCAGCTGGCTTGACAGAAAGATAGAATGACCTCCTAAAGACACAATTACGGCACCAACTAGGAGGCAATACCTGGTAGGGTTGGGGCAATGTTCTCCAGGAGGCTGTATATGTTCTAAACCAGCGTCCAATATATGGTGCTGTATATCCCATGACCAGATGCGTCCAGGAATCTAGAGGTGGAAATGGGAGTCGCACCACTCACTATTACCCCTAGTGACCCACTCGCAAAATTTTTGCTTCCTGTCCCCTCAACCTTATGCTCTGCAGGTCTAGAAGTCTTAGTTCCAAAGAAAGGAATACTCTCATCTGGAGACACATCACTGATTCTGCTGAACTGGAAGCTAAGAATGCCCCCTGGCCACTTTGGGCTCCTTATGCCTCTGGATTAACAGGCAAATAAGGGAGCTGCCATACTGGCTGATGTGATTGATTCTGATTACCAAGAAAAAATTGGACTGATATTACATAATGGAGGTAAAGAAGAGTATGTCTGGAATGCAGGAGATCCCTTAGGGCATCTCTTAGTACTACCATACCATGTGGTTAAGGTCAATAGAAAACTACAGCAACTCAATTCTGACGTGACTACTAATGGTCCAGACCCTTCAGGAATGAAGGTTTGCGTCACCCCGCCAGGCAAAGAACCACGAACAGCTGAGGTGCTTGCTGAGGCAAAGGGAATACGGAATGGGTGGTGGAAGAAGGTAGTTCTAAATACTAGTTACGGCCATATGGCCAGTTGCAGAAACGAGGACTGTAATTGTTATATTTCTGCTTTATATGTATGCATCAAATATTTTTGTTTTCTTCAGTTATAAGACATAAAATGTAAATGGGGTTAGTGGGTTTTCGGTTGCACGCATGTTAGTTGTATTAGGTTAGGTGCAAGTATGACTTTGTAATTGTCTTTATTCAGAGATTATGTATGGTTTGGGGAGATGTGTACAGGTTCTAAGTTGACAAGGGGTGGACTGTGATGGTTAAGACTGTGTGTCAGCTTGGCTGGGCCATGATTCTCAGTATTTTAATGTGATCACTCCCATGATTGAATACACTGTGAGTAGCCAATCAGATGAAAGGGAGTCTCCTTGGGAGTGTGGCCCACATCTGAATACAAGCAGACGTTCTGGCTTTTTGCTCTCTCTGGATCCTGCAGCTGCCTCCTGTCACCTCATCTCTGGTTCTTGGGACTTGAGCTGTCAGCTTATCTGCCAAACTTGAGATTCATCGATCTGCACAGCCTGTGAGCAGGAGCCCTGCTCTCTGACCTGCCGATCTTGGGCTTGCCAGCTTCTGTGGCTGCGTGACGTGGGAGAGGCCTCTACCCTGATCCACAGACGTTCTAGCCTCTACAATCACGTGAGCTGTTTCCTTGATATATCTATACATACATATATTTATACACTTTACTGGTTTTGCTTCTCTAGAGAACTCAGCCTAAGACACATATTAATATATATATAGAGAAATTTATATTAGGGAAACAGCTCGCATGATTGTAGAAGCTAGAACGTCCCAAGTCCATGGATCAGGGTAGAGGCCTCTCCCAATTCATGCAGCTGCAGAAGCTGGCAAGCCCAAGATTGGCAGGTCGGAGAGTAGGGCTCCTACTCACAGGCTGTGAAGGTCGATGAATTCCAAGATCAACAGACAAGATCGCAAGGTTTCTTCTGATTCATGTAGCTGCAGGGGCTGGTGAACCCAAAATTGGCAGGTCAGAGAGCAGGGCTCCACCTACAGGCTGTGAAGATCGACAAATCCCAAGTTCGCCAGGTAAGCTGACAGCTCAAGTCCCAAGAACTGGAGGTGAGATGATAGGAGGCAGCCGCAGGATCCAGAGTGAGCAAAAAGCCAGAATGTCTGCTTATATTCAGATACAGGCCACACCCCCAAGGAAACTCCCTTTCATCTTATTGACTACTTACAGAATATTCAATTACGAGAGTGATCACATATAAACAGTGAGAATTATAGCCCAGCCAAGTTGACACACAATCTTAATCATCACAACACTTTACTGGTTTTGCTTCTCTAGAGAACCCAGCCTAAGACAGATATGACCTAAAAAAGCATTAAGACCTTTAACCATCCTCCCTCTTCTGGTTGCCCCCCTCCTACCCCCCAGTTCTACCCATCAGCAATGAGGACCTGCCTCTTATGGGAGTAGCTACATTCCTGCCTCATTGACTTTGAGTTTGGCCTTGTGACCTACTTTGGCCAATGGAATGCAAGCGAAAGCAATAGTGTGCTAGTTCTGAAACAGACATTGCAGAGGCATGATGTGTTTCCACTAGCCTTCTTGAATTTGTGCCCAAATAATTCTAGAACAAACTGCCCAAATAATGCTGGTCCCCTAGCCTGCCTCCCTGAATGAGAAAAACCACTGGAGAAGATCTGAATTTAATGGCAGCTTGGGAACCAGCCCAGCTGAGCCCAGCAAAGCCTCATAGAGGTACAGCGACCTGCACACAGTCATCATGAGATAACATTCGCTTTGGCAGGGCTATATTTGACTGTCTCTTTTCCTGATCTCTGTTAAACTGTCTGCCTCTGTTGGTTTTACATCCAGCTGGTAGGTTCCACTAATTGGTGGCTGATAAATTTATTGTTTTTGATGATGACTTAGGGCATGAATAGCTCCACAGTGTAATCCAATTAACTTCAACCCCTTTTTCAGGCCAGTGTAATGCAATTTACTTCATACCCTTTTGCGGGGGTAGTTTTTGAGGAGACTTTGGGGTTTTTTCTGACCCTAGGAAGGGCTCTTAACTGTTTGTTTGAAATTTCCCATAAAAGAGTTAAATTGTATAATCCCTGGTTCAAACACATATTCAGGAGTTACTGAAAAACAGTACAAAGCTTAAACTGTGAATGCACACGGTCATCTCTAGGGAACTGCAGGATTTCCCTGCTTTCACTTCCATTTCTTGAGAACTCTCCACACAAGTCAAGCCAGTTAAAGGGCAGAAATCGGGCTACAGCTTTGGTGGGGAAAATCATGAGGGGAAAAATGGAGAAGAGGAAAAGAGGGCTTTTGGAACATGGGAAATTTTAAGGACTGTACATAAACCTCAAGTCTGTTTTAGTCCCAGATACAAGAGATTTCTCCTCATGAGGAAATTTCAGCTGGAAAAGCTTCCTTTGGGGACAGAACATGCAAGCCTACATAACTCGTCTCTGAGCTTTTGCTAAAACATTCTTGAAACTGTAGGAAATTTTCCCAATAATCTATACAGGAGGAAAATAAATTTCCTCCAGACTTAGGTCAAGCAGCGGAAGGATAAAATAAGATTTACGGCATCTTATCTGGATGATGTCCCTGTACTCAGGATACAAGTGAGTTTTCATAACACTGAACATGTGATGGAAAAGCACTAAGGGAGTCTTCCTGAATCTTAGATTCTTTATTTGTAAAATGGGATAATGGTAATATTAATTTCCATTATTGTGAGACCTACTGAGGTTAAGTAAATGGAATCAGTCGGCACAAAGCAAAGCACCAAGCCAATGCTGGTCACTATTCCAAGGGAGAGATGTGTAGGAATCATAGGGAAGCCGTTAAGGTGGAAAAGGTGTTTACAGTGTAGGCACTGGTCACGGGGAACACCAAAGACTCAATTATTATAAAATATTGGCAGAGCTCTATGTGATCTTTAGAAATTAAACACAGACACAGATTTTTCAGGCATATTGGCTACAGCAGCAATGTTTATTACATTAGTAGGAGGGTTTGGCAGCCATCTCAAAGAGAATAAGTAACAGGGGAAGGGACAGTTAACAACAGCGAAAGGAAGAAAAGGAAAGAGCAGCCTCAAAAACCCAAGGCTTCTTCCTAGAATGTCCCAGGCCACTTGCTAAATGTGTTCCAAAACACATTCATTTAGTGCAGACAGGAAGAAAGAGAAATTTTCTAGTCTTATCCTGCCCCACACAACTTGGTGTGTAATCTGGAAACATCTGCGTATGGCAGGAGCTAGACCAGCTGAGCCAACGTGTGGATCTTCTGATGGCGAATGAGGTTGCAGTGACGATTAAAGCTTTTCCCACATTCATTGCACTGGTGAGGTCGCTCCCCTGTGTGGCTTCTCTGATGCTCAATGAGGAATGAACGCCGACTGTAGCTCTTATCACACTGGCTGCAGTGATAGGGCTTCTCTCCTTTGTGGATTCTCTGATGCTGGATAAGGCCTGCACTCTGACTGAAGGCCTTCCCACACTCCTTACAGTGGTACCGTTTTTGCATATTGTGGATTCCCCGATGATTAAAAAGACCAGAACTCCTACTGAAGGTTTTCCCACACTCATTACATTCATAGGGTCTTTCTCCAGTGTGAATTCTTTGATGTCGAATGAGACCTGAGCTCTGAGCAAAGCTCCTTCCACATTCATCACATTTGTGTTGTCCATCTCCCAAGGTGTTTCCCCATTTTCTCTCTATTTGACTCTTATGTTTACCAGCTTCTCCATGTCGGGGACCCTGGTATGATAGCCCATTCTGTCCATGAAAAATTTTCCCATGTGGTTCCAGTATCTCAGAACAGTCTTTCCTTAGCATCAACTCTCTGTCCTCAGTCTTGGTCACTCCACCTGAAACAAAAATAGACTAGGTAAATGTCACTTGTTCCCTGAGCCTACAGGAGGGTCATTACATTCACAGAAATACAAAAATGCTTACAGCTTGACATCATAAAATAGGGAAGAGGTTAGAAATAGAAGGGTCAGTGTGGTAACACCTTCCTCTAGGTAACAAGGGAAGTTTGCCCTCTTTGGCAAAATATAGCTCAGTCTATCCCCATATGGACTGGTCCTGGAGAGATCATTTCATACTTTTTCATGAGGAGGGAAGGGTCATTGTCAGGGTGACTTCTCTGGAGTTTTCCCTTGGAGCTTCTTCCCCCTTCTGAGGTACAGAGCCTCTGTCTTAGTCATCTAGTGCTGCTATAACAGAAATACAACTGGATGGCTTTAACAAAGAGAAATTTATTCTCTCACAGTCTAGTAGGCTACAAGTCCAAATTCAAGGCATCAGCTTCAGAGGAAGGCTTTCTCTCTCTGTCAGCTGGAGAAAGGTACTTGTGATGCATCAGTCTTCCCTTGGTTTGCGAGCATCTCAGCACAGGAACATCAAGGTCCCAAGGACATGCTCTGCTCCCAGCACTGCTTTCTTGGTGGTATGAGGTTCCCATGTGTCTCTGCTCACGTCTCTCATTTATATCTCAAAAGAGATTGGCTTAAGACATCTAATCTTGTAGACCACATCAGTATAACTGCTGCTAATCCATCTTATTACATCATAGTGATAGAGTTTACAACACATAAGGAAATCATATCAGATGATAAAATGGTAGACAATCATACAACACTGGAAATCATGACTAGTCAAGTTGACAGATATTTTTAGGGGACACAATTCAATCCATGAAAGCCTCCAAGGAAAGTGACCTCATGTGTTCATTCCTTTATGGAGCAAGTATTAAGCTTCTACTTTTCTCGGTGTTTTAATCTACAACCTTCTCAGATGCATGTCCACCAGAGGACCTTTTCTCTAGCACTTCCTTTGTCCTGGAAATCTCTCACCTCAGATGACAGCAAAGCTCAAAGTCTTTGCTCAACTCTTACCTTCTCAATGAGATCTATCTTAAGTTTATTTAATACTGAAATCCACTTGCCCTATCATAGCACTCTTAATCTCCCTTATCCTGCTATATTTTAACTTTCTAACATACTATGCAATATCCTTATTTTTATGTCTATTATTTGTCCCCCCTTGCTACAATCTCCATGAGAGCAGAGATCTTTCTGTTTTATTCCCTGAGAATTGTGCCTGGCACATAGTAGTTGCTCAGTAGATATTTGTTGGATGAATGAATGAAAAGGAAAGCATTGAAACCAATCCTACTACTATGGCCTCAAATGATCAGCCCAGGGATTGGCACCTGAGGCAAAGGCTGCCCCATAGGACTGCTCTGTATTGGACAGTGTTCAGCCAACCCACTCAGACCTTCTTTAAATGGAGGAGTTGAAAGTGAGAAATGAGAGAAATAAACCAAGATTGTCTAACACTAGAGAGGTGCTGTAGTATCCTTAGCATGCCTCAGGATCCCCAGGTGTGATTCCACCTTGCAACCCAGAAAATCCGAAGGAAAAAAAACCCTAACACCTTCTTTTGACCAAGACACCTGGTTTTTTCCTCCACATTTAACTAACTATATTATCCTTCACGCACCTGGATAGGTATCTCTCAGGCCTCCTCTGTTGTTAGACCATGGTTCTCCTTCTTTCAGCTGGGATATCACAACAGGTTTGGAAAACAGAAATTTTTCTGCAGAGTAGAGATGGATCACAAGTGAAATCAGTACTGCCCTTTTGTCCAAACTTCATATTTATATATGTAATGTACAAGGGAATCAGGTAGAATACAAAATCTAAGACATTTCCCACCTGTTAATAACTACCATTTAGAAAGCCTTCCATGGCTTACAAAGCACTTTCATGCACACTATCAAACTGACTCACCACAAAACCCCTTGATGTTATTATCCCAACTCTTTAAAGAACTAGGGGAAAAAAAGAAGATAGATATATAGCTAGACAGGCTCTCTATAGATGGAAAAAAGTCTGGAAAGATACAGAGCAAATTGACCCTGAGGAGTTGAATTTGGAGAACTTTCACTTTTACTATATAAACTTCTGTATGATTTGGACTTTTACAATCAGCACAAATTTAAAAGAAACTGAAACTCAGTAATATAAAATTACTTTTTAAATGCTACTTGGCTAGAAAGTTTAAGGGCTAGAACCTGAATTTGGTCTTTGCAATCTTAAAGACTTACTATTCCCAATATTGGCTTTTCCTGAATTTTTAGCACACCTCTGTCACAGTCATAGTCCTACAGGGAGAACTCCTGGATCTGTACATGCCCTCTTGATATCCTCCTGTGGCCACAGTAGATGCTTAATAAATATTTGTTGAATGAATGAATAACTAAATGGATGAACTGCTGGTGGGTGCATGAACTTACTCAGATATGCTTCCTGAAGGAGATTACAAGCAGGGTTTCAGATGCAGTTTGGAAGATGGAAGAAAGGAAATGGCTGGAAAATGAAAAGTCCAAGTTCATGGAAAGAGGAAAAAGAAAGAAACAAAGGAACAGACTGGAAATATGCTCATAAAAGAGGAAAATGAAACCAGAAAGAATTTTAATATGATGCAGTCACAAGAACAACAGAAAGGTTTGCACTGTGTACAGGATTTACTCAGCAACTATATTTTAATTTAAATTAAGAGATGTGTTCCAAGTGGTAGAAATCCATGATGATTGCTAGAGCAGATGAGAGAAATAGAGGATGGAGGCAGGGAGGCCAGGGAAGGTGGTGTTTTGATACATATGGGGATAATGTGAAATTGAAAACAACAGAACTCTGCTTAATATTGATTGTCAGAGGTTAACAAAAGGTCATAAAAGGCTGTGATATTATGAATGGGAAAGCAGGCAGAAGCTGGAGCCAACTGCTGCAGGGAGAGCTAGAATGTGAAGGCAGCTGACTCTGCACCAAGTGCCCAGTACTATATTCACAGGAGTGGCCACACCCACCACTAAGAAGATTACATACAAGGAAATGGCAGGGTCTGATAGTCACTGGATTCTCCCACATAGTCTGCTACCTACTAAGCATATCTCATACCTTTTCACTGCAAGTGTGAACCCAAATCAGTAAGGGGAGCACTGGCGTTTTTTGATTAGAACAGCTACCATGAATTCATGGTGCCATGCACAGTGCCAAGCGCTTCTCATAAATTGTTTTATTTGATGCTCACAACCTTCCAAAGTACATACTATTATCAAACTTATTTTGCAGATAAAGGAACTGAGGTCAAGTGGTTAAGTAACCTGCTCAAGTACAAGCAGCTTCCATGAGGTGAAACCATGATTTGAACCTATGTCTGTCAAACTTCAAAGCCCATTCTTTAAAGCTGGCCTCAGTGTTTCCCGAAAGCTCTTCTAACATACCATGTGCCAGAAGACGTCCAGGATGACACTCATGGAGAGGACTACAAGTGGGGGAGGGGGACAAATAAGAGCACACTGCCACTCGGAAGCTGTGTGTCTTGCTGCTAGCCAGCGGTAGGTTAACCAGTAAGCAAGGTACGCACAGACTTACATGTGCTTACTTACTAAACTGTAGTGCACAATTTCACATGGGTTTCATCACATCAAAGATAAACAGGTGAAACTGTGTGCTACAGATGAGTAAATAAGCACAAATAAACCCATGCACTGTTGCTTATCGGGTAATCTGTCCTGGCTGGTACCTGCTAAAAAGTCTTCCGATTTCATTTCCCCAACTCTAGGTTTGTTTTTGTTGATCAGGTGGGTATGTTCAACATTAGATAAATCCTGTCCCTCACCTGTCTCTCCAACAGGGTGGGGCTCCTGAGCATGGTCACATGTGAGCTGGCGCTCCTTGGGCTGGGACTGAAGACTCAGTGATGTCTGCTCTCCTAGAGGTACTCTCTCTTTGAAGAGGACTTCTTGTCTGCATCTGTGGGCTACCATCTGGGGACAATGAGACAAGATTTGACTTCTGAATAACTATCTGAAGAGAAACATGTCCCAGAAAGAAGGAAGTTGGAACCAAGGTTTTATTTAATTACCAAAGTCAAGTGGGTACAAAGCAGAGGCTACAAGGTCCTTGATGACCCACATATACATTTTTCCCTAACAAATCTCCCTTCCTACCTCATGTTGTGATTCATCAAGCTCTCGCTCCAGATCCTCCAGCAGAGTTACAGCCTCTTCCCCACTCTCTGGACAATGTTCCCTCACCCAGCCCTGCAGCTCCTCAGGCAGGATAGTCAGGAACTGCTCCAGCACCAGCAGTTCCAAAATCTGCTCCTTTGTGCTCACATGTGGCCTCAACCACTGGCAGCAAAGTTCCCTGAGTTGGATAAGGGCCTCCCTCGGCCCAGGAGTCTCCTGGTAGCAGAGCTGACGAAAGCGCCTCCGGAAGATTTCTCTTGCCAGTGGATTATTGCGTTTCAGTCTGGATTCCTGTCTTTGGAGGCTTTCTGCCTCCACTTTCCTTTTCGGAAGCCCGTCCCACACCTCAGGAGCTTGAATATCCAGAGACAAAACCTCCTTCAAGTCTGTACTCATCTTGATCCTGAACAGTTTAAAAGGTACCCTCCAGCTGGAACTATGCTTCAAGAAACACCCTTGGAGCCTCCCTCCCTAAGGAGTAAAAATCATTGTTAAGATAGAAAAATGGCAATAGCTGATGATAGGAACTGGTAATACAAGCAATTGTCATAGTCCTTAAAGTTCTTCACTGACAATAAGGAACCCTGGTGGCGCAGTGGTTAAGTGTGCGGCTGCTAACACGAAGGTTGGTGGTTTGAATCTTCTAGCCATCTGCTTCCGTAAAGATGACAGCCTTGGAAACCCTATGGGGCAGTCCTACTCTGTCCTATAGGGTCACTGTGAGTTGGAATCAACTCTACAGCAATGGTTTTTCTTTTTTTTGGTGACTAAGGATGGGAATAATGGAAAATATAAGGTCATAATGTGCAAAGAGCATAGGGTTTCAAGTTACCCAGACCTGGGTTTGATCCTGGTTCTGGCTTTCACGAATTGTGTGACTTTGTACCAATTTCTTACCTTCTTTTAACCTCAGTTTCTCTATGTGAAAAAGAAATAGTAATAATACCTTACAGAGTTGATGGGGGAAATGGACCATGAATAAGGGACCGCAGAGATCACTCAGAATGTCTGGATAAAAATTTTGGACTTGTGTATGAAAGTCAAACTAAGAAAAAGAATAAATAGAAATATCGTTCATGACCTTGACTAAATGAATGAACTAACCTTTATTAAAGTCTTTACTTCAGTTTTCTTAATCTTCAAAACAACGATTTAAGGTTGATATTGCTTTCACTAAATTTACAGAGAGAAAAACTTAGGTCCTGTGAGATTTCCACACCGCCCTGCTGCTTCCTAATTGAACCAGTCACCATTGTACAACAGTCTACAAAATGCTTTCAGATACAAGACCACATTTAATCCTCACAATCACTCTCTGAGGTTTTAGTAGAATCACTATTTCACAAGATAAGAAATAGAGGCTAGGGGAAGTTAAGTGGGTTGCCCACAGTCAAATTATTCGTGAGGGCAGTCATAAGAAACCACAGAAGCCAAGGAAGACGTCTTCTGCATAAACTCAGGCAGTGCCTGAGCCCCAGAAGGCCTGGGTATCTTCAAAATGTCAATAAGCACAGATCAGCAGCTGAATTCCTGCTTGACAAGCCCTGTGGCAGACACCTACCGAAACTGAACCGGGGGGAGGAGGGAGGACCGAGAGTCCCAGAATATGCATCTTTAACAGGTTCCCCAATGATTTGTATGCACTCTAAGGTTTGCGACTCACTGACCTAAAGGAAACGGAATCAGGAAGTGTCACATTCTGCACCTGAAAATCAATCAGTTCAATGCTCTTTGCTGCTTTTGGAACCAAATGGTAAGAGGGTATACTGGCTCTCCATGATGCGGGCTGCAAAACGTCGTTTTTTAAAAATTTGTCCTTAACTTCTTCTCCCCCGAGGATATTTCCTCAGACCACAGCCGTTTCCTCCCATAAGTCCTAATCCTGTTGTCGTTATTCACCATGGTGACCCTTCTGCCTCGCAGCACTCACAATGTCCCCAAAGCCCCGGGATGACGGGCGGTGGTCCACAGACCCCCGCTCCCTCCCCTGCTCCGACCTCCCCGGGGCTCAGGTTCACTTTCCACACCCCTTTGTCACCCTTCCCGGTTATCGGGGCCGACTCACGACACCTGGAAAGGGCGAGGAGGGAGGAGGCCCTCTAGCCCCGGCGCTGGAAGGAGCGCAGCAGCGGGAACAATGGCCGGGGCAGGAAGACGCCATCCCATCCTCGCAAGCCGACTGAGCGCAGGCACTTCCGGGCCGGTCTAGGACTCCGGGTCTCGATTTCCTACCTCCTGCCCCTCTCTCACCTGGGAACCAACGGTTAATATCCTGGGCATCAAGAGCATGATTCTTTTTTCTGGGCATCATTCTTTTTAAGCATGGAATTATATCATCAGAATTTTATACCAGTGTGGGTCCCCTACAGGTTTTAAACTGAAAACACTGATGAAGAATTGACCGTTAACTATGGAAAATGTTGATTTTTAGAAGTACATAAGAATTAATACATGATTTATGGTTTAAAAAAATTTCAGAGAATGTCAAAATTAATGAAGTAAAATGTAAAATCCCATCCTGTCCCTCCTTAGTCCATTACCCCAAGGTAGCCACTGTCACTGTTAGTTTGGATTTACATGTATCATTTCTCAGTCTCTCTCTCTGTCTCGCACAGACACAAATATTAAATGGCATTAAGTTCTGTTACATTTAGCTTTTCCTCCCCATTTATTTAATGTTTTCACTTCATATATCTTAGACATTTTTATTGGTCATATAGGTCTAATTCATTTAGTGTCTGCATAATAGTCCATCAAGCGCCGTACCACCATTTATTTATTTACCCAGGTCCCTAGATATTGACAGACATGTGTTTTATTTCTTTTCTTTTTTGCTACAAAAGTTGTCTTGAGTTTTAGTAATAATACAAAATCAGTCCAAAACCGATTAAATTTTTGGTATAAAAGAGCATAATCATAAGTACTGTTAGTCATTCACCAATTTTATTATGTCAACCAGAATGGTGGCATTGCATAGATTAAACTAGGTTTTGTTTTTTGTTTTTAATTTATTTATTTTATCACAGCAGTAAGAAAGTATCTTGTGTGCTATTGAGGTTCCATAATGAGCTTTAACTCCAAAAAATGTAACTTGGTAAAATTTCCTTAGTTGATTTCCTCAATGTAGCCAACAGGGAGCACTGAATAAACTCAAGCTTCATGTTTACTTTAACTTCTTCCAAATATCCAGTAAGTGTGCCATCATTAAGAGCACCAACATGAAGAAAATTTGCTCAAAATTCTAATAATTTTCTCCAACATACCAAGTAATACCTCATTTGCCAACTTCATGAGTGAAATATATATTGGAAGTACAAACTTTATGAATGAACTATGTAATGGGAGTAGATGCTCAACTTTTGTTGGGATTTGATAGACTGTTAAATATGTTAATTCTCTTCCATTTTGGATGCCTATCTGTGACAAATAAGCACAGCTTTCATATTTGTTCAAAACCTCAAATGGCTCCCTGGCATTTGGTTAGGCTCTCTAACTAGTTTATGAGTGCTTGTTAGTAGGTCAAACATTTTGACTATTGGACTCAGGTGGGCTCCACCCTAGGATCAAGTGAGCTGCACATCTGACTTCCTATAGTTAAAGTGCTCTGAGGAAGACTGGTCCCTACCTGTTTGTTTGGGGGAAGATTTCCCTGTAGCAGTATCTTAATGAGTATGCTGAAACAGAAGGAATTATTTTTTACTTAGAACTGGGAAGCCCTATTGAAAATATTGAAAAAGCCACTCTGCTGAGGGACAAGAAGAAATGCTGGGTTACCTGAATCTAGAAGCAGGCACATTGAGATACTGGCTCTGCTGCAGATTATGTCTTAAGCTTCAAACAAAAAAAGGAAGAAAAAGATTTGGAGGGTTGGTAACACAAAAAGATTGGGTAAACTGGTGTGTGAACAGACCTCTTAGAATGAGTCCCAAGTGTAAAAATACTTGTGTCCCATGTGAATCATCACCAACTCCCTGTATGAGAAGGTTTCAATAAGCAAATAGGCAAAATTATTTGCCCTGTGGATGTCAGCAACTCTTTTTTCAGCCATCTCACCTTTGCTCAAGATGCTTTTGAACATAGTGGCATTGGCGAAAAAAGAGAGAGAGAAGAAAGGGGAAAAAAAAAGACCTTCTTTCATGATGGCTAATCTAGACACCACCACTGTAGAGAGTCCAGTTTTCAAGACTCTCAACCAACACCGCACACCATAGGGCTATTGCATAATATCCCAGTGGGAACAGCCTGCCACCTGATGGCAAGTTGATTACATTGTACTCTCTCCATGATAGAGGGAACAGAACTTTTCTTCAATGCAACAGACGTTTACTTTGGATTTGGATTGGGTTTTCATGCCTACCATGTGTCTATCAATTTGTCATACTGTGGTGGCTTGCCTGTTGCTGTGATGCTGGAAGCTATGCCACCGGTATTCAAACACCAGCAGAGTCACCCATGGTGGACAGGTTTCAGCTGAGCTTCCAGACTAAGACAGACTAGGGAGACAGACCTGGCAGTCTGCTTCTGAAAAAAAATTAGCCAGTGAAAATCTTATGAATAGCAGCGAAACACTGTTTGATATAGTGCCGGAAGATGAGCCCCTCAGGTTGGAAGGCACTCAAAATACAACTAGTGAAGAGCTGCCTCCTCGAAGTAGAGTCAACCTTAATGATGTGGATGGAGTCAAGCTTTCGGGACCTACATTTGCTGATGTGGCGTAACTCAAAAAGAGAAGAAACAGCTGCAAACATCCATTAATAATAGGAACGTGGAATGTACGAAGTATGTATCTAGGAAAACTGGAAATTGTCAAAAATGAAATGGAATACATAAAGGTCAATATCCTAGGCATTAGTGAGCTGAAATGGACTGGTATTGGACATTTTGAATCAGACAATCTTATGGTCTACTATGCCGAAAATGACAAATTGAAGAGGAATGGTGTTGCATTCATTGTCAAAAAGAACACTTCAAGATATATGCTGAAGTACAACGCAGTCAGTGATAGGATAATATCTATATGCCTACAAGGAAGATCAGTTAATACAACCCTTATTCAAATTTATGCACCAACTACTAAGGGCAAGGGTGAAGAAATTGAAGATTTTTTTACCAACTTTTGCAGTATGAAATTGATCAAACATGCAATCAAGGTGCATTTATAATTACTAGTGATTGGAATTCAAAAGTTGGCAACAAAGAAGAAGGACTGGTAGTTGGAAAATATGGCTTTGGCGATAGAAGTGATACTGGAAATCGCATGATAGAATTTTGCAAGACCAATGACTTACTCATTGCAAATACCTTTTTTCAACAACATAAATGTCAACTATACACATGGACCTTGCCAGACGGAAAACACAGGAATCAAATAGACTACGTCTGTGGAAAGAGATGATGGAAAATCTCCATATCATCAGTCAGAACAAGGCAAGGGGCCGACTGCAGAACAGACCATCAATTGCTCATATGCAAGTTGAAGTTGAAGTTGAAGACAATTAGAACAAGTCCACGAGAGCCAAAGTATGACCTTGATTATATCCTACCTGAATTTAGAGACCATCTCAAGAATGGATTTGATGCATTCAACACTAATGACCAAAGACCAGATGAGTTGTGGAATGACATCAAGGACATCATGCATGAAGAAAGCAAAAGGCCATTAAAAACACAGAAGAAAGAAAAGACCAAAATGGATGTCAGAAGAGACTCTGAAAGTTGCTTTTGAACATAGAGTAGCCAAAGCAAAAGGAAGAAATGATGAAGTCAAAGAGCTGAACAGAAGATTTCAAAGGGTTACTTGAGAAGACAAAGTAAAGTATTATAATGGCATGTGCAAAGACTTGGAGCTAGAAAACCAAAAGGAAAGAAGACACTTGGCACGTCTCAAGCTGAAAGAATTGAAGAAAAAATTCAAGTTCAAGTTACAATGTTGAAGGACTGTAAGGGGAAAATAATAAACAATGCAGGAAGCATCAAAAGAACACACAAGGAATATACAGAGTCACTGTACCAAAAAGAATTGGTCGATGTTCAACCATTTCAGGAGGTAGCATATGATCAAGAACCAATGGTATTGAAGGAAGAAGTCCAAGCTGCACTGAAGACACTGACAAAAAACAAGGCTTCAGGAATTGACGGAATACCAGTTGAGATGTTTCAACAAACAGATGAAGCACTGGAAGTGCTCACTCGTCTATGCCAAAAAATGTGGAAAACAGCTACCTGGCCAACTGACTGGAAGAGATCTATATTTATGCCTATTCGAAAGAAAGATGATCCAACAGAACGTGGAAATTATCGAACAATATTATTAATATCACACGCAAGTAAAATTTTGCTGAAGATCATTCAAAAACGGTTGCAGCAGTACATCAATATGGAACTGCCAGAAATTCAAGCCAGATTCAGAAAAGGATGTGGAACAAGGGATATCATTGTTCATATCAGATGGATCCTGGCTGAAACAGAGAATACCATAAAGATGTTTACCTGTGTTTTACTGACTATGCCAAAGTATTTGACTGTGTGGATCATAACAAATTATGGATAACATTGCAAAGAATGGGAATCCAGAACACTTAATTGTGCTCATGAGGAATATGTACATAGACCAAGAGGCAGTTGTTTGAACAGAACAAGGGGCTACTGCATGATTTAAAGTCAGGAAAGGTGTGTGTCAGGGTGGCATCTTTTCACCATACTTATTCAATCTGTATGCTGAGCAAATAATCTGAGAAACTGGACTACATGAAGAAGATGTGTCATCAGGATTGGAGGAAGACTCATTAACAACCTGTGATATGCAGATGACACAACCTTGCTTGCTGAATGAAAGTGAAGAGGACTTGAAGCACTTACTGATGAAGATCAAAGACGATAGCCTTAGTATGGATCACATCTCAACATAAAGAAAACAAAAGCATCCAGAGATCAGTTTCCCAAGGCTGAGATTCAGGGACAGTAAATAGCCGCTGAAAGAATAAAATCTTGTCTGGACAAAACCGTAGAAATCAGCTCAAATTGAAAAAGAAAAAAAGCGTTGTCGTTGGCAGGCTTGGATTGCAGACAAAAATGAAGTTAGCCAGGAGTGGATCCCGGCTCATGGCGACCTCATGTGTGTCAGAGCAGAACCGTGCTACATAGGGTTTTCAATGGCTGATTTTTCAGAAG